TATAGGGGGTGCTTATACATATATAAATGAGAGTTGAGGGGAACTTCGGACGGAGGTCTCTCGTCTTTTGGGGCTGAGGGAGATAGGCCTAAGCCCTCACTGAGGCTGCATCTTCAGTGCAGAGATAACTCAATTTTGACACCGCTGGAACGGGACATGGCTCCATGGTATGGGATTCTGGGAAGTGCAGTTTGTTTTGCCTTCCCAGAATTCCATACCACGGAGCCGTGCCCCGTACAAGCGGTATCAAAACGGAGTGATTTCTGCACTGAGGGTGTGACTTAAGTACCGAGGTCGTGGGATTACAAACAAACAAACAAAAAACACCAGTGGCCGCTTTCTCCCCGGCTCAGACTGAGGCGTCAAAGCGGCCTAAATAGCCCCACGGCGGCAGAACACCCTCCGCGCAAGGCTAGTTCCGGCTGCGCTGCCGCGGAGGGATCCCGACCCGTGGGCGTAGGAGGCGGGGAAGGCAAGAGGGACGGAGGGAGAGAGAAGAAGGCGGAGGCGCCTCGGCGGCCTGAGTCGCGTGGGGGGAGGGGCGGGGCAAGAGAGAGAGGGAGAGGGGCACCAACATGGCGGCTCCGGCTTAACTTTGGGGCCCTTCGGCAGCCGCTGCCACCGCCCGCCGCCCCTCCCTGCGCCTCGGTCGCCGTCATGCCGGGCATGATGGAGAAGGGAGCCGAGCTCCTGGCGGGCGCCAAGGGCAGGGCGGCCCCCAACGGCACCAAGAACGGCGGCGGCGGCGGCAGCCCCGGTTCCAACGGGCATTTCTCTGAGGCGGAGAGCGGAGGCGGCGGCAGTGGCAGTGGCGGCGCTGGAGGCGGAGGAGACAGCGGCGAAGAACACGGTGCGGACTCCCTCCTCCTCCTGCTGCTTTTGCTGCCGCCTTGGCTGGCTCTGACAGGGCCTAGTCGTAGGGACTAAGAGGCGCGGGGGCTCTCCAGGCAGATGGGCTTCTCTGGGTGGGGCCCCCCGTGTGTGGCGTCGTTGGTTGGTTGGGATGAGTGTCTGTTTAGGCTACTTGGTTGGTGTGTGTGTGTATGCTGGTTTACTGCGATGTGTATGTGTGTGCTGGGTGGGATATGTGACTGTTTGTGGTGGTTGGTTGGGGTGCGTGTGTGTGCTGGTTGGCTGGGATGAGTGTACTTGTGCCATTTGGTTGGGATGTGTGTCTGTAGTAGTTGCTTGGGTTGTGTGTTTATTTTGTGGTGGTTGGTTGGGATATGTGTGTGATGGTTAGTTGGGATGTGTGTATTTGTGCTGGTTGGTTGGGATGTTTGTCTGTAGTGGTTGGTTGGGATGTGTGTGTGTGTATGGCCTGGTTGGTTGGGATGTGTGTGTATTTGTGGTGGTTGGTTGGGATATGTGAGTATTTAGTGGTGGTTGAGTGGGGTGTGTAAGTGTGTGTCCTGGTTGGTTGGGATGTGTGTATTTGTGCCAGTTGGTTGGGATGTGTGTCTGTAATGGTTTT